AACTGAAGCTTTCTGAGTCCTAAGCCTTCCTAAAGCCTGAACAGGGAGTGAGAAAAAGCAATGAGCAGTATAGTTTCCAAGGCAGTACAGGGGGAAGATTCTAGCACCAACAAGATGGACAGCAGCTGTTTGGGGGGCTCCCACAAAATCAGGGTGTGACTTTGGGGAGAAGCTCCTTTCTAGATCTATTAAGTCTGATTCTGGGAGAAGAGGACAATAAAGTCGGGGAAGGCTCAGAACTTAGTAGCAGGGCATTCAAGCTGAGGCAGAATGGGGCAGATTGATAAGGGTATGTCTATTCATGTGTGTAGGTCATTCTTAAATTGATAATAAGTGAAGGACTGCCTGTAACCACCCAGATGAATAGCAATGTCTAACTAACTCTTGGAAATCATTAACTTTTGCTTAATTGTCCATGTAAATAACTATTGTCTCATGGATTCTCTGTTGTCCTTGAAAGAGCCAGTAGTCACTTTCCCTCCCTCCCTCCCTTCCTTCCTCCACCCCACACTCTTGAGTTCCTTCATTAGTAGCTGCTTTTTGGCTACAACCCAGGGCATCCCACATGCCAAATCCTAGAGTGACTCCAGAAGTTCAGAGGGGCCCATTGACTGGGGAATTGCATGGCTTGGAATATTGCTGAGCATGAAGAATTCAGAGTGAAATAAATGGAACCAAGGCAATAATACACATGACTACAACAAGTTAAATAGAAAAAAAAAATGAAAATTTTAAAAAAGTAACTGAAAGCTGTGTCACTATAATGACCAAGTTTATTCCCAAGGACGAGGTGAGAAAATGCATTTCTCTTCCTTGCCTGTGCTGTCAGATTTGAGGGATGTGTTGGCTAGTTTTGGTCAAATGATTTTTCTTTCTCTTTTTTCTCTTTTCTTTACAAGGGATAGTTTGCTGGCTTTAGGGGTAGGGATTATGTTCAGAAATAAACGATGCAAAAAAAAGACATCTATCTATCTGTCTGTCTGTCTGTCTATCTGTCTATCTATCTATCTATCTATCTATCTATCTGTCTATCTATCTATCTATCTGTCTATCTGTTTTAAAGTTCAGCCTGCTCCTGTGTGTCCTAGAGCCAGCACAGACCCAGAATTCCAGAGGAGTGAGAAGTACAGCTGGGTGAGGAACAGATCATTCTCAGGGAGCATCTGAGCCCATCTGGGGTTTGTAACTGACTCACCTCCTGGGGCATCTTCTATACTAGGAGCCATCCTGGACTCAAAGCATATCCTCAAGGTTAACTTGTCCTTTTCAATTCCCTCCTAGTCCTAACCAAATAGCCAGGGTGGCCCTGGATCCATTCCGGTATCTGTCATGCACTCTGGAAGCCTTGTTCAACATGGAAGCCAGGAAAAGACTCAAAAATTGGTTATTTCATAAAAACAAACAAAAAATATACGCCACAAAACCCCACTATACAAGGAGGTGTTTGGCATTCCCTTGTGAAGAATGATTCATGTTGGACAAGTTTGGTCTGTAGGCAGTCAGCCTGGTTGTTAGTTAAAGTTGACTAAGATCACGGGGTCAATCTTCACACGGGCCAGTCAGCTTAGCTGTAGTTCATGGCCTTGGGGGCTAGGGTCTGTTGGAGGACTGAGCCCTGAATTGTGGAGAGATAGTCATAAATGCATACTTATTACTGAGAAAAGAACTTCAAGCTGATGTTCTACCTACCTGTGTAGAAGAGAGAGAGAGAGGGAGAGGGAGAGACAAACGGGGGGAGAGAGAGACAAAAAGGGAGGGAGGGGGAGAGGCAGAGAGAGAGAGGGAGGGGAAGAGGGGAAAAGAAGGGAGAGAGAAGGAGAGGGAAGGGGAGAGGGGAAAAGAAGGGCGAGAGAAAGAGAGAGACAGAGAGAGACAGAGAGAGAGGGAGAGAGAGAGAGACAAGGAGAGGAAGAGGGAAGGGGAGAGGGGAAAAGAGGGGAGGAGGGAGAGGGAGAGGAGAAGAGAGAGAGAGAGAGAGAGAGAGAGAGAGAGAGAGAGAGAGAGAGAGAGAGAGAGAGAGAGAGAGAGGGAGGGAGGGAGGGAGAGGGGAAGAGAGAGAATTTATAAAGTTTGTTCCACCTCTTCATTAAAAGGGAATTAGAGATTTAAGTGAATAGCTGCTTTCCAGACCACCTAGTGGCAGTTTAGAACATTGTGGCTTTCCTTTCCTTATCTTTTTTTTTCCCCCCAAAAGCCACACGCAAAGCAGTCACTCTTTCTCTGCTAACTAGAAAGTCCTCAGATGTCCTGCCTCCTGGGGCTCAAACTGGAATTCGGCTAGAGGACATCCTCCCTAGCCCACCCACTCCTTTCCTACTCCCAATTTAACTAACCTCTTCTTTAGCTTCAGGCAGATTAAAGGTTTCTGAACTATCTGGGGATGACTTTATTTTCCCTTCCCTTGTGTAAAAACAGAAACTTCTCTACTTTAAGAAGAAGCCTTTGAGAGAACTTTAGACTTTGGGACGTACAGAGAAGAGATTCCTTGAGTATTTTAAGTCAAGGGTGTGATTATCGGTATGGGAGTCATCCAAGCCCTTGGCTTCTCTCCTTTCACCTTTTGTACCCTGGTGCCATTTCAGTAGTTATTGGTATCTGAGTTAGCTGAACGTCAAATGTTTAATTATTGTTTTCTTATTTGCTAAAGTAGAGACAGCTAGGTAGCACAGTTGATAGAGCATGAGGTCTGGAGTCAGGAAGTTGTTAGCTAAAATTCAGTGACCCTAGACAAGTTACAAGTTCTGCCTGCCTCAGTTTTCTTCAACTTAAAAAGGGTAGTGTAATAGCAACTCTTTCATGGTGAATCTCAACTGAGATAATTATCTGTACTGTGCTTGGAACATAGTAGGTACTTAATAAGTGCCTATTCCTTTCCTTAAAGATCTTTTAGGAGTGGTTTTAATGAAATAGATTAGGTGCAGGAATAATTAGCAGCAGTGATTTGTATGTAAATAATTGTAACACCAGAGTCCTTAAAATGTTGTCTCCTAAGTAGGTTAAATGTGCCTCTATGATTTCATTAGCACAATTTGCCTGCCAATTTATTTCTTTTAAAAAATATTTTAAATCAGTCATAATATATTAGTACATCATAATAATATTATGCATTGTTATTATTAATATATTATTGTTAATATGCAATCTTTAAAAATAGAAAACCTCTGAAACTTTTCATATAACCCTATCACAGAAAATTCATTTATAGTTTATTATTAGGGTCACTTATTATTTAAAAACATTAATGAAATATTATGAAAAATACAGAACAACTTATGATTTGGGGAACTTCCAAGAATTGTGATTTCTTTCTTTTGAATCACAGAGATAGATATCTGTCAGGAATTTGGAATCACTAAGTGCAAAAAACCAACTCCTGCTAAAAAATGTTTCACTTTCACATTCCATCAGAGAAATGGAGTAGATATTGTAGATGGTCTTTAACCCTTAAACTCATTTTTTTTTGAGAGCAAAGACATAAATATTATCTGATACAGGTAAGCCAAATTTTTTTTCAACCTTAGTTTCAAAAACTTTGAAAGGATCACTTTGGAGGCATTCAGCTCAGAGAACAGGAATTAAGAGATGGTAAAGAAGACAAAGGACGGAGGTCCTGGGAAAAGCTGGATTTATGCTCAGATATTGCTTCTCAAGCTGGCTTCCAAAACTCTTCCCTTTCATTTTACAAGAAGGTCCTCAAAGATTCCCCTATTTCCAGAGATTTATAGAATCTATGTTGCACAAATGCCTAAGGGTCCTATACTTTATCAGCCATCACATTTGAAATACATATATCAATACATATAAATTTATAGTAATTCTGTGATTATTTTTGTTAGCGTCTAAGCTACCAATAAGAGTTTTTATTAAAAATAATTTATAAAAGGGATTTTTTTAGGAAAAGTAGAATTGAGAACTGCCTGCCATCGATTAGGAAAGGGGAGACGTTTGGTACTCCAGCCCGAATAAATTTACTTGTTACTCATAAATAAAATCCCAGACAGTGTGGAATGAAGTTTTACCATGTACACAGTTGAAGAATAGTGGTGTAATCATGTGAGTTAGCATTTATATAGCATTTTATGGTTGGCAAACTACTTTACAATTCTTATCTCATTTACTCCTTACAACAACCCTGGGAGGGCAGTGTTATTATCCCCATTTCACAGATGAGGAAACCAAAGCTGAGAGACAGTAAGAGATTTGCCCAAGGTGACACACATAGTAAGGGTTTTTTCTTTTTTTTTTTTTTTTTTTGGTGAGTCAATTAGGGTTAAGTGACTTGCCCAGAGTCACACAGCTAGTGAGTATTATGTGTCTGAGGCCAGATTTGAACTCAGGTCCTCCTGACTCCAGGGCCCATGTTCTATCCACTGCATCACCTAGCTGCCCCTGCTACTAAGTTTCTGAGGTAGAATTTGAACTCAGATCTTCCTGACTCCAGGCCCAGCAATCTCCCCACTGCACTACCTTGTAGTGGAAGGAGCCCTGGATCTGGGCAGTTAGGGACCTGGGATCAGATTCTGGCTTTGCGACATGCTACCCAGTATGACTTGGGCAGCTAGATGGCACAGGGGATAGAGCACCAGGCCTGGAGTCAGGAAGACCTGAGTTGAAATCCAGCTTCAAACACTTACTAGTTGTGTGACCCTGGGCAAGCCACTTAACCCTGTTTGCCTCAGTTTCCTCATCTGTAAAATGAGCTGGAGAGGGAAATAGCAAACTGATTCAGTAACTTTGCCAAGAAATCTCCAGATGGGGTCATAAAGCCAGAAACAATTGAACAACAACCTGTATGACTTTGGGCATTATCATCTGAGCCTCAGTTTCTTTCATCTGCAAATGAAGAGAAAGTTCAAATGATCTCAAGGCCTTTATTACTCTAAAAGTTTTACTCCTAAACCTCTCTGAGACAGAATTTTACACAGCTACTTTTAACTCAGTGAGGTTGGCCAGGAATTACTGCAGCTCTCATTAACCTTCTATCCCTTTTTCATTTTCAGAAAAGGTGGCTATTAAGATCCTGGACAAGACCAAGTTAGACCAGAAAACCCAAAGGCTGCTGTCACGTGAGATCTCCAGCATGGAAAAACTGCACCATCCCAACATCATCCGCCTTTATGAAGTTGTAGAGACTCTGTCAAAGCTCCACCTGGTGATGGAATATGCCGGAGGTGGAGAGCTCTTTGTGAAGATCAGCACTGAGGGGAAGCTCTCAGAAACAGAAAGCAAGCTCGTTTTCTCCCAGATCGTGTCGGCAGTGAAGCACATGGTAAGCTCAATGTCATCGAGTATCCACACTACCAGTCTGGCTAGAGTGGCTTGACCGATGGGTAGTCACTGCTCACATAGTCTGTAGTTCCCAGCTCTAGAGCTGGAATGGGCAATGGAGTACTACCAGGGAGGTTACATAACAACCCAAGGTCACACAGACTATATCAGAGGCTGCAATTGAACTCAAGTTCTCTGGCTTTCGGTGGCACAGTGGATAGAGTGTAGGGCCTGGAGTCAAGAAGGCTTATCTTCTTGAGTTCAAATCTGGCCTTGGACACTTAGTAGCTGTGTGATCCTGGGCAAGTCACTTAACCCTGTTGGCCTCAGTTTCCTCATCTGAAAAATGATCTGGAGGAGGAAATAGCAAACTACTCCAGTATCCTTGCCAAGAAAACCCCAAATGGAGATATAGAGTCGGACAGACTGAAACATGACCTCTAACTCCAAAACCAGTGGTCTTTCCATTGGACTATGCTGTTGATGTGATATGATATGCTGAGAACATGCTAATTTTATAATCTTCAAATTCTAGTCCTCTCTCATCCCTCCTTATCCCTTTGTTGTTGTTCAATCATTTTTCAGTCATGTCTGATTCTTCATCAACCTAAGATCAGCCAGCACAGGGGCAGTTTGGGAGTGAACCCTGGCTGTCTTTCCTCCACAGACAGAGAGATGAGGTTATGGTCAAGGGTTAGTAATGTCTTTAGCCCAGGCTGCCATCAGTGGGCTAAGCAGTTACTGGTAGGCCTTTGTATTGGGAATGGAAATTTGGCATGGGGGAGATAAAAAGGAAAACATAAGGAAGGGGCAGGATTGTAAAATTTATCACTTAATGGTGCTGGTTGCCTACCCTTGCTAGGAAATAGGTCAGCCCCACTCCGGGTGCCATGATTGTGCTATCTGGTAGCATTATATCATTGAGGCAGAAACCCTTCCATGTACTGGGTTACATAAAGCACCATACCCTCACTGGTACACCCACAGAAAGAAAGGGAGAAGAAAAACTGGGAGCAGAAGCAGCAGTGATAGTGATAGAGGCTAGGGGACAATTAGAGAAGGGCCCATTGTAGAACACCATTAAAGTTGTACTCCCTACCCTTGTCTCTACACCTTTCTTTAAAGAGGAAGGCAAAGAAAAAGAACATCGACCATTTTCCAACAGTCACTATGGACAAAGCAGGTAATGGCTACAAGGTCAAATTTGGTGCCATGAGTAAAAGCACACAACCTTTAAAATATGGGTGGTCCTTGCAAGTTCTCTAAGGCAGAGGTGTCAAACGCACTGGCCCATTCTGTTCTGCATCACTCCACAGTGGGGCTCAACCAGATTAAAATGTAATTGGGAAACATTTAACAAAATAAAGAAAAATAGAACATAATGTTAACTAATACATAGTTTTCTAAGTCAATACACAGCCTGCAGGGATCCTTATATACATTTTAGTGGCCCCTGTTTCTATGTGAGTTTGATACTTTTGATCTAAGATATGGATATGAAGTCAGGGGGCCTTAGAAAGAATCTTAGAGATCATTTAGATCAGAGATTCTTCATCTTTTTTTGCATGTGTTCAGCTTTGAAAGTCTGCAAAGCCTTCTCAGAATGATATTTTCAAATGCATAAATCAAAATACAAAGGATACAAAGGAAATCAATTATGTTTAAATACAATTATCAAAATATTTTTTTTAAAAAGTTGACTGCAAGTTAAAAACCAGCTTGACAGATGAAGAAACTGAGACCCGGAGAATTAAGACACTTGTCCAAGCAATGAAGAGATAGGAAAGGTGGGACTGATTATATTCAGGTCATTTAACTCCAAAACCTGTACTGTTTGCACTACACCATATTGACTGTTCCAAGGCTGGAAGCAAAGAGCAAGGATGGGATGTGTGTTAGGGGATTGCTAAGCTGTGGCCAGCTTCTTCCAGAAACTGGATTCTACAGTATTTTGGTTGAGGTCAAGGAAGTCTACAGGAATGATGAGCAGAAGGGATTGTATCTCTCCATGGTCCTGGCTCTAACCCTGATTCACATTCCATTTTCAATCTTCTTCTTCTGGTAGGGTCTCATGACAAAGGTTAAGTAGCTGAAAGTGCAGCCAAAGGGCTCACTGTACTCTTGGTTATTTTTCCCTTGTAGTAGCTAAAGCAGGAAGGGCTATCAGGCTATAGATTGTTTTGCCCAGCAGGAGCAGTTAATGGCCTAAAATTTTGTTTTTTAAATTCTATTTTATTTTCAGCTCCATTCTCTCCCTTCCACCTTCCCCTCTCCTCTGTCAAGAAACAAGAAAAATAAAACTTTTTACAAATACGTATAGTCAAGGAAAACAAATTCCCACATCAGCCCTGTCCAAAAACACAAAAACAAAAGTACCTCTGTGTGCCTTCTGAGTCTATCACTTCTCTATGTAGAGGTGGGTAGTGTTATTTTATCATGAGTCCTGTGGAATTGTGGTTTGTCATTGTGTTGATCAGGTCTGTTTTAAAGTGTTTAAATAGGAGATGCATTTTCCTCCTTCAAAACAACTCCTCATCAAAGTGTGTCAAAATGTAGTTACCTCTCCCTCCCTGGAAGTATTCAGACAAAGACTTTATTACAATCTAGTTCAAGCAGACAGGGATGTTATAATGGGGATTCCTTTTTTGCATGGCTTGGATTAGACAACTCCTGAGGTTCCATCCAGTTCTTAAATACTGTCAGTTCTGATTCTGTGTAACAAAAAATAAACTTTCCTTGGATAACACAATACCTGGCACATAGTAGGAGCTTAATAAATATTTACTGGAAAAAAATAAAAATATTTATTGGTTGACTGATTATCCTAAGAAACCCATTATGCTTAAGGCTTAAGGTAATCAAGTTCTCCAATATTTAGATGAATTGCCATAATCATACAAATGATTATCCAGGTATCTAAATAGAATTATTGACTATTTAGCACAGATTTTTACCTTTTTTTAGGTAAAAATATTTTTACCAGTTTTTTAAATTGACTTTGTCCTTTCTTGCTTCACAGCATGAAAATCAAATTATTCATAGAGATCTGAAGGCAGAAAATGTATTTTATACAAGCAATACCTGTGTGAAGGTGGGTGATTTTGGATTCAGCACAGTAAGCAAAAAAGGTGAAACCCTGAACACTTTCTGTGGGTCTCCTCCATATGCTGCCCCAGAGCTCTTTAGGGATGAAAATTATGTGGGAACTTACGTGGACATCTGGGCCTTGGGGGTCCTCTTATATTTTATGGTGACTGGTACCATGCCGTTTCGAGCAGAGACAGTGGCCAAACTGAAGAAGTGCATTCTCGATGGGACATACAGCATACCCCCTCATGTCTCCAACCCCTGTCAGAGGCTGATCCGTGGGGTTCTGCAGCCAATACCCACAGACAGGTATGGCATTGACTACATCCTGAACAATGAATGGATGCAGGGGGTGTTACACCCCACTCCCTTGGAACCCTTCCAACTAAATCCCAAGTATTTGTCAGAAAAAAGCACACTTAAGGAAGAAGAGAATGAGGTCAAAAACACCTTAGAAAATCTGGGTATAACTGAAGAGCATATTAGAAATAACCAAGGGAGAGATTCCCGCAGCTCAATCACTGGAGTCTACCGTATCATTTTGCACAGAGTACAAAGAAGAAGGGCTTTAGAGAGTGTCCCAATAGTGACCCTGCCAGACCCCAAGGAAGGAGACTCAAAGAAAGCATCCCGTGTTTACCGGGGCATACGACACACATCCACATTTTGTTCAATTTTATAAATTGCATTAGACTGTCAATGAATTTAAACATTGTTTTTGGATTTCTTTTTAAACTTTTCCACAAGCAACTTAGGTTATGAACATTTTCTAATTTTAAATAAACTCAAATGGTAATTTTGTAATCTATTTTTCTTTCAAACTGACAAGGCAATAAACCCCACTCAAATTTTCTGGCCTGCTTGATTTGGGGGTATCTTAAGAATGTGGTATATGTTATTTATTACTCAATTTACTTAAGCGGTAGAAATGACTAACCAGAATCACACTCCTAACTTCTTGAGAATTAATGCCTCCAAGAAAAAGTTGTGTTAACCAACCAAATGTCATATTGTTCATGGAAGACAATTTGCCAAGCCCTGGTTGATACTTCAAGTAACAGCAGTTATCAGTTTCCATCACTGATGCTGTTAGTTTTCATACCTGAGATGTTATAATTGGCTATGACATGTTCCAATTTAGCCTTTCCTAGTTCTGCCTGGTCTTGTGTATGGCCTTCAGTATTTCTTTGTTTACTGTGTTGTACGGTTTAACGTGAAAGTGAATAACCCAATTCATTTTTTCTCAACATCAGCTTCAATATCTGAAACGCCTGTTTAGAAAGTTCCAGCTGCATAAATAAAGATTTCTTGGCCAGGGTAAAAGCATGTAATTTAAATGACACTGTGTATCTCTAACTTTAAACAGTTCCTTTGCTTAAATTCTAGGCAGTTCTGAGTAGGTGGCTATCTGCTCTCCAAACTAATTTTCTTCTCAATACTCAAACCTAAACCCAAGGGCTGAAATTCTCCTACACTTGAACTCAGGTTCAGGGTTCAGGTAAAATGTGCCAATTCATAGTTCTTCCTTTAAGACTGTCACTGTTAGTGGTGGTTTTCATATGTTTAAAAAACCTTTTCAAATCAAAATTTAAAGTATCATTCCCTAACTCCAACATTTGCCTAAATAGGGAAGAGATCTGCCTCCCTTTCTAACCAAACACGCCTTAAGTTTGCCTTAAGAAGCTGAACCACAGGAGTGATCTGGGTCAGAAATAGTGAACATGGCCTGTTCCCTGGGGGGTGAGGGGTTGTGGGGAAAGGAAGGGAACCCAAGAGAATTCACTGTCCCATCATCAAGTTTGGGGAATTTTCATGGTCTAAAAATCTCAACAGAATACCAGCTACCTCAAAAACAGAGCCCAAATGTCCAACTAAACTAAATCCTAACATAAATATTGAGTCAAATGCGTATCTCCCATCCTACTCCCATTTTAACTCTTAAGAGATTTAGTCCCTTAGGAACAATAGAACAGAGTTTTGTGTCACTTCAACTTTGGCCTTTTCAAGAATGGGGCCTGAAGATTAAAAACTGTTGGGTGTAGAAAGTTAAGTTATGGTGTGATTACCGGAGGCATTTAAGTTTAATACCACCCTAAAATACATATTTTTTTCTTAATGGATTTACTTTTCAGCTTAGAAAAAATAAGAAGTAAAAGGCCCAAAAGAATAAAGGATTTTTAGAGGGAATCACTTGTTCTAGCTACACTTGCTTTTCAAGAAAGCAAAGGCCACCAAACTCAAATATGCACCTATTTTTAGAAAGAGATTATTACAATATTATAAAAAAGATCAGGGGCAGCTAGGTGGCACAGCAGATAGAGCACCGGCCCTGAAGTCAGGACCTGAGTTCAAATCTGGCCTCAGCCCAAACACTTGACTCTGTGTGATCCTGGGCAAGTCACTTAACCCCAATTGCCTAAAAAAAAAAAATCAGCTAAATTAAGGTGCTCGATGGTTTAACTCAGTAGCCAGAAAATCCTCTTCCCCTGACTCACACTTTCATTGAACTCGACCTTCCTTCCCTCCTCCAGTTCCCTTCCTCCTCTGCTTTCCCTTTTTATTGTAGTCTAGAACCCTGCCTTAGCTGGTACTCCTCTTCATCCTGTATTTCTTCTCACAGTGTCACTTCCCAACATCCCTTAAAACGTTCTGTGGCAATGGTTCCTCCTTCTCCCCTGCCACTCTTTCCCTCTCCTTCCTCCCCCAAGTTCAGATTTATCCCCTTCTCTGCAACCTCTCCTCTAGGATTTCTTCTGTCTATACCACCTTGTCCCGATTTTTTTTTTTTTTTGGTGAGGCAATCAGGGTTGACTTGCCCAGGGTCACACAGCTAGTGTCAAGTATCTGAGGTTGGATTTGAACTCAGATCTTCTTGACTCCAAAGCCAGAGCTCTATTCCACTGTGCCACCTCATTGCCCTGTCTTGTCCCAATTCTTGTCAGTCACCTATAGAATTAGACCTTACTTTCTCCTACTCTATGCATCATCCTCTCCAGTCACCAAGGAGGGGGGGGGATTGTCAAAGCCAATTTAACTGTGCTCTCCAGTCTCCCCCAGAGTTTGCCATATTGATCATTCCCTGTCCTCTTCAAAGGTTTTCTCTAGATTGGCTCTTTCTTCCTCACATGGCAGGGTCTGTCCTTTCCTTAAAAACGAAATTCCTTGACTTTGCCAACCCTTCAAACTATATTATTTCTTCCTTTTCACTGCCAAACTCCTGTACTCAGGCTCCATTTTATCCCTGCTCACTCCTTGAGATCTGGCTTCACCCTTCTACACTACTAATTACTCTCTCCAAAGGCTACCTATAGTCCCTTAATCATTGGATGTGATGAATTTTTGACACTTAACCACCTCCATACACAGCTATTCTCTTCTTGGTACAGTGCTGTGCTAGGCAGTGTTGGTGCTTAGTAAATGACTAATGATTAGTCCTCTTTTGGTTCTCCTCATCTATATGACTTCCCCTTATTTCCTTTACTGAACCGCCATTTTCCACTCCTCTCTAACCACATGTCCACCACCCTAGTCCACTCTATCCTATACTGTCTTCCTGACTGCTTTCCCTATTTCCATTCTCTTCATATATCCTCCCAAAACAATCTTCCTAATACACGGACCCAACCACTGAATACCTCTCCCTTACAAACTTCAGCTGCTTTGACTTACCTTTAAAATAAACACAATGTCCTTTGTCCAGTATTTAGAGTCCTCCACACTCTAGTTTCAATCTACCTTTTTAATTCCAATTCATATTACCCAATTTTATGTATTCCTACATTTTAATCAAATTCGATTTATGGCTATTCCCCAAACTTCAACTTATATCTAATACCCTCTGGTCTTTTTCCACTAGTTGTTGTGAGTTTTGAATACAGACCCTCCTCTTTTTTGCCTTTCAGGGTCTCTTACTTTCCTTCTTCAAAGCTTTCAATGATTCCATCCTTCCCTTCTTTGTGCACTTTTTCCCTTCTCAAATTATTTTGTGTAGTTATACCTCTCTTTTCCCAGCTTATATTTTGTAGCAGACTATATTAGCTCCTTGGGGCTTGGGATGTTTACTTTTTTGATATCCAGGGACCTTAAATATATCCCTAGTATTCCATGTAGTTTGTTGTGGAGTTGTTTTTTCAGTCCTGTCCTGACCTCAAACTCCTTGGCAAAGATACTGGAGTGGTTTGCCATTTCCTTCTCCAGCTCATTTTATAGATGAGGAAACTGAGGCAAAAAAGGTTAAGTGAGTTGCCCAGGGTCATACAGCTACTAAGTGTCTGAGACCAGATTTGAACTCAGGAAGATGAGTCTTCTTGACTCTAGGCCCAGAGCTCTATCCACTGTCCCACCTAGATGCCTCCACCACACACAACTGAACTACAACTTCAATTAATCAATGAGATAGGAACTGAGTAAAACCAACAAATTCTTCATGCTACTTTCCCTTCAAAGAACTGGCAACAGTTTGTTAATTACGTTCTCATATCTTCTCGTACAATGACAGTAGTGGAAGAAAGATGTAGAATATATCTTTACATTTGTTTTCTTTCAGTAAAATAAAATTACCTAGGTACTATGAGCTGGGCTGTATTTCCTACGAACACCAGAATAGGACCAAAGAATCCCACTAAAAAAGCTTTTGTGATTGTGGCACTTTTAGTATAAAAAAAAAAAATCAACCTAAATCCAACTTCTAGAAACACTTCAAAAACAAAATCTCATTCCCCAAAATAAAGACCAAAGCAGGATACAGGGGATAATCTGGTTGATGATAATAGGTGTAAGATTTCAAAGACTAAATTTAGCCTTTTGGATTACAATTATTTCTCTTTCCATGGCCCCTCTTTGAAAAACTATTCGCTATCTGCACTTCTCACTAAGTGAGCTCTATTGCCCAATGGCCACTCGTTTTATATTATTAAGTCACAAGTGGCAAACCAGAGATGAAAGGTTTCAAATAAAAGTTTCAAAATGGGCTTTGAAAAAAAAAATCTGTTTCTGAGGTCAGTCTAGTTGTGCTTTAAACAGAGATCAAATCTATCCTGAGGACTAAGCCAAATTAAGTTCAAATATGGTAAATGTAACAGAACTAGCCCTTACAGAATCAAGTTGGATTTTAATGCTAAAACAAACATAAGGAAACTGGAGCTCAGAGAGATCAAGAGATTTGTTGAATTTGAGTATCCAAGTTAAAGAAATTAAAATGATGACTGCAAAACTTTTAACAAGTTACCAATTCAAATCAGAAGCATTAGGATAGTTGTTATTTTGACAAGTAGCTGCTATGTCTACCTAAATTTCTTGATGCACATTAACTAAAGTTTATTATAACTCTGATATTTACCCACTTCACTAACTAGTTTCTTTGGTAAATTTTTAAGTAAAACGAAGTCTGGGTAATAATTATGATTAACAAGTGACCGGATGTGAATTATCATTTCTCAAAAGAAAAAGGATGCTTCTTACTATATAATTTCTTGGTAGAATAAAAAGACTTTCATATGTTTGAAATTTCTCGTAAAACTTTATTTAAAAGTTATTCACCTCATCCTTAATGAAGTGTATAGAGTTAATATTCTGTGCCAGTGGTATACTAGGTCTGTCCACTGCCAGCAATGAACTTTCATTCACCCAATTCTCTTGGCACCCAGAAGTTAAATTATCCTTTTCAGAACATTTCTAACCCCCAACACTTGCAAAAGCACTGCATGCACCATTTCCCCATCAATCTTTAAGTCAGAACTTACATCATTAATCTACATCAGCAGTTGTTAAAATGAAGTCATTTTAACTTGCTTTTGACTGTACAAATCAAAAAAAGAAAAGCTACTAGTTAATATTAGACAAGAATAATTTACAAACACATCACGCATTACCTTGTAATCTGAAACATTACATTTCATGTCGTTTGTGCAAGTTTGTAATAGGTAACTGAAACTTCACAGAATTTAATAAAATAAAGTATTAAAAATTAGTTCTGTACATTAGTTCCAACTACCTCTGTATTTTTGTAACCTAATAAGGCTCATGTTGTAGTTCAGCACCAAGTGGGCCGACATAACCGTCCAATAAGTCTTTTTGTTCACTCTGACATATTGTTCGTTCTATGACATTTTTCCTTTGTGGGATACATAGTTTTCCAAGTGAAAGTCTGAAAGAAAGCTTCACAAATCAGATTGCATGACAGTGATGGGAGAATTCTGAATTCTTTTTTCAAGGACCAGGAATAAACTCGGGGCATACCAGTGATTTTACTTTTGATGAAAAGTCATCGTGGATTTAGATTGTCAGTTTTTGAAGTTAAATCTGTAATACTGAAGAGTAACTCTAGTAATGTATATAATTGCTACCTTCTCCCCTTTTATTCAAGTTAACAATGAAGGTCATGCTTGTAAAAGGTACTTTTCCAGCAACCACACACACACCACGAGTTAAAATAAGGTACAAAGAACTGTAACTCTATTAAGCCTCCTTACAGATCTCAAGCACTATTCAAAACTGATGACCACCAAAGCTGGCACAGAGACAAGAACTGTTTCTACCAAAGATGCCATGTGCCACAAAGGTCTCTCCAGAAAGAGCTTGTTCAAGATCACTATTCTTTAGCTCACAAAGGCCATTATCCTGAGTTCTGGTCACTACTGGGGCTCAATTCAAATAGAGCAATAGTATTACTTCCCTAAAACTTCATTTTCTACCCTCAGTGAAATACTTATAAAATTTAGAAAAGGGACACTTCTGGTTTTGCCATTTCATAGGGCTTATGTAAACCACATTTTAAAAAATCCCTCAAGTTTTATTTCAAAAACTGAAGGCGCTTTTAGCAGTCTTGCTTAATGCTATTTTAAAATATTTATAATTTAAAAAATCGAAGGTTGTCTAGTGACATCTCCATTTTCTTCCACCAGATCTGCACGCGATTTATATGACCACATCAAAAGCTGAACTTCATGCTTACAAACAGCTGAAGAGGTATGAAGGTTTACAGAGCCCTTAACATCATTCCAAATACATTCATGCTATTTTAGTGTTATGTAATCACAACAGGAAGCATGTCAGCAAAATGAACTAAACAAAGACTTTCAGAAGTACACAATAGTTTTCAGGCTCCAAGTAAGACACATCAAAATTTAGGCAATATGTAATCCCTTTAAGTTTTCCCCAGATGTCCTATTCTTTCCTTCCCCACACTCCCATGCCCCCTCCCCACACTGGAGTCTTCCACCTCACAGAGGTAATTCAGTGCTCTCCATTACTAATGGTAGCTGCTTCAGGTTCTGCTGTTGTTGCGGGAAGCCTTGGCACCTTCTTAGCAGGGCTAGGAATATGCTTTTAAAAAGAAAAAAGAAAAATTAGCTTTTACAAACACATCTGAAAGCAGGATAACCTAGCAAATGCTTTACCTTTTAGATACTAATTTTGCAGGTTTTTAAGCTAATAGACCAAACATGTATACTTATAACTTTATTTGTATTCCAAGACCAACTCTCTTTTTTAAAACAGAAAAAGCTACCAAGCCTTGTGTTTCTGAACTGGTTTCTCAGTACTTCAAATGCTTCATTCTGGGTATTTGCAGTATTTTTTCTGTGACAATAGGAGTTCTGGATTGTGGCTATAACACTTCTGATACTTTTCCTTTTGTGGTTTCTTTCAGAAAAAGACTGTGGGTGCTATTTATCTCTACTTTGCCCTGTCATTTTAATAGAACTGGGTATTTTTCATTTATGATTTCTTGAAATAGAGTATACAGGCTTTAAAAAAAGGGCAAGAAACAAAGTACCCTAAAGTTTAAAGGTCCAGGACTTATCTTAGAGATATAGATCATGAGTTTTATCTCATAGAGAAAAGCCCTAAATGCTCACTTAGACCTCAGATTCTATCTTCTCCTTATTTCCAGATAACTTAGATTTGAGAAGAGAAATCATTTTGGGGCTCATACGAGAGAAAGGCCACAGGTTTCCCACCCCTGGCCTAGGACAAACATCCCTTTATGAGCTCCTTATCTTTTTCCCTCTTCCCTTATGACCATCCCAGAGACATTCATTCCTTAGGGTAGTGGCAATAACCCTTACCTCAGCTGCTGTGCTTGAATGTACAAGCCCAGCCCCTGCATCCAGAGTGCCATCATTTAGACAGGGACGACGAGCATAAGTCCTTCGGTGCTTTTCGTCCACTCTAACTAAGTACCAAGTTCCTTCAAAAAGAGCATCCACCGAACCTTGGGGAATGTAGTTGACTACCAAAGGGACACAAAATAAGAAACAATTGATAAAAACCATTTTAGTAGGTGACTCTCAATCTTAAACAGTACTATCGTGTAGCTGCTCTCTGCTACTTCTTACAATTAGCTGATTTTCAGATACGTTAGAAAAGTGCATTCTGCCAAGCTGTGTTTTTGTTTTTTAAATGAAAAACTGTAACACAAAAATCTTTACCCAAGTGATGAGTTTCTTCTCGGAGCTTCATGTTTTCAGCAAAGACATCTGGAGCAACACAGGTTCTTGAGTCAAGCCTTGTTTTCAGGTCACATAAGCTCGTTGTTAGTTTATCCAGGGCAGATCCTGCAACAAAAAATTATTACCATTAATAAGTGACTCAACAAGAATTAATCCCTGGCCTACTTTTAAGTTTTGGCTAACATTTTCTCCTCACTAGCCCACATATTCTCGAAGTGCCTTTGCAGCAAATGAATGTATTCAATTTAGTTGTAGTACACCAATACCTACACACGATAAATCTTCGGCCAAGTCAGGTAACTCATTCTCAAAGTCAAACAAAATCTTTTTGGAAGTTATTCGCACCACAAGAGCTTACCATTAGTGCAGAGTTAAGAGATTACTGTAGTTAAGGATGCCCATTCAGCAGCCCTGCCTGGTTCTACTCCAGGGAACACTGGGCCTTCCCCCAAGATAAGCCGATCACATGACATCTCATCACCAGGCTGACTGAATCAGTTTTTGGTACTCAACACCTTTCTGTGTGTGTGTGTGTGTGTGTGTGTGTGTGTGTGTGTGTGTATGAATGTATATGGGTGTACATACACACATACACATCATAAAACAGATACGTTAATTTACGGTCTTCTAAGTCAATATGCAGCCTGCAGAAATCCTCAAGTTGCACACAGTACTTGCACTGTAATAAAAACTGGTAAAGAAAAAGATCAAGACACAAATAGAAAAATGTGTGTGTAGGAGAGGCACTGTGATTCCAACAGCATCCTCTTGCCAAGACTCAGTAAGAACTCTGCTCTAGCTGTGCCTTATCCCAATAGGTGCCACCTCAATGCCATCCACTGTTTCAGTAAACAATTAAGTGGACAAACTAAGCAAAACTTACACACAGGAGAAATTTTTAAAATGAAGTAAACACTTACCTGGAGTGGCATCTTGTGTAACTTTGAGAGAGTATAACGTAGCCGCAAAACCAGATCCATAGGAAAAGACTCCAATCCTTTGCCCTGCCAACTGCTGAGGTGTGAACCTACATAAATGAAAGAAAGCTGTTAGCAAAGTCACACAACTGTCCCCAAACCCAGGTTAAGTGTGAGTAAAAACTATGGGCCAAAATGTTCACATCCCTAAATTTATGGATTGAATTGAATGTTGTAATATCAGGGCAAACGAGTTAGAAATGAAGTTTTTCAATTCTAGCTCCTGAAAGTCTAAACACTCAGTGCCACAAAGCTAAATAAGACTAAGTAAATTATTATACTTTAAACCAGTTGTACTGTTGTCTAACAAGCTACTATGCTCAATAAAGGCCAGGAATGAACAAGTCAGAAAAGCAGGTATGGGGTGTTACCTGTATATGACCACCAAGTTCAGAAGGTATTATAGTTTAAGCCTATGAAAAATTCAGTCCTTTGTTGTGCCAAAATTAAAGTAGCACAGACCGCTGGCTGAGTTTGAATTGGTGGGTTTTTTTTTTTAATCTTGCCTGTGTTTCAGAGTCTGCTCTTACTGTGACAGCCTATTTTCCAGATGTCACCCACACCAATCTTTATGCCTTCTAATTAACTACCACTTGATTAGAGGAATATTTTTTTCCCAAATGAAAAATTTCACCCAGTTCAACTGCAAAAATTGGGTAAGAAATTATAATTCTGAATCAACACGATCTAAATTCCCCTCAAGGTCCTAAGGACAAGATTACTCTTATTATTATATGTACTGATAATTTCTTTTATTTAATGACATAAGATTTCATTAGTCTATATCCAATATGGTCACTTTAGTTCACTGCTTCTATGCCCAAGAGTTTACAAGGACTATGACTAAACTGTTCAGTGGCTATACTCAGATTTCCGACAACAAAATGTCTAAAGACAGGAGTGGGCAATATATGTGTTTTTCTGAGGACAACAAAGAAGGACATGTGGCCTTTTAACATAACTGTCCAACCTGGATTTAGGCATAAGTACAATTTTTAAAACTAGAATTTATGCTTACTGTGCTAGGACAGAGGCAAGGGAGCCATAAACTGAAGGTGTATACATGTTTCCATTCTGATTGGATACAAGCAAAGATGCTTTGGTTTTCTGATTAAAGAGATCAGCACTGGCCTTCATAAATGCCTTTTCCACATCTCTATCAAAGTAGGTATCTTCAAGTTTAACATCCCTATAAAGAAAGCAAAGTTTAAAAACAAACTCAGTTCTATTAAAATGCAAATCTCAGGAGAATGTTTGAAAATGTGTCTAACTAAAGTTCAATAAACTTAAGTTTTTCTCTTTTTAACTCAATCAATAAAGTATTTATTGGAAATGTATGCTACATCCCAGCAATGTAGCAGATGCTATGCAGTTTAGGCTTAGTCAGGGAGATAAGATATATGAAACAGTTATTGAATAAATTATTAATGTGTGGGTACCAGCTATAAAAATAATTGGAGTTCAGCAGCGACAACAACAAAATCAGCATGATCCGGAAAACTCAGAAATGCTCATGTTGGAAAGTGAGATATGAGATGGGTCTCAAACCCTGGGGAGGACCTAGGGGGAGTGGAAAAAAGCATTCCAAGTGGAAAAGATAGCTTGAACCAAAGGCAGAGTGTATGTCAAGGAATAGGTGAGAATTGGAATTGGGTGGAAAGCTAGACCACAGAAAGCTTTAAGGTCAGGTGGAAGAGGTTAGTCCTGATGTAGCAGCAAAAGAGTGAGTCACTCTGGGTTTCTGATCAAGAAAAGAATATAACAAAAACTGAAAAGAAGATCAATCTGGCATTCATGGGCAGGATGAAGTGAAGGGGGTGAGTGGGGGACAGCATCTGGGAGACTACTGCAGTTGACAGTGGGAATGGAGTAAAAGGGGCATACTTGCCAACAAGTTACATGAGGGCAGATCACAACCTCTGTACCTCAGTTTCTTCATCAAAGGGGACAGGTCTTGGCAATTCTGTCATTTCTAGTTCTATCATCCTATGACTTCCTCTTATATGGGGAACTACCAAAGATGACACAGAGTTCTAAAAGAGTAGGTTAGAAAGACAGTAATATTACTGACAAGCAAGTCAGTTTTTATTTGAGAGAATGGAGGAGGTGGAAGTAAAAGACTGGAGATTCTTTTGGGATATAATGAAACGACCTCAGAATATCCAAATCAGACAACTAGAAATACAGGACTCAAGTCCAGGTGAGAAGTCAAGGCCAGAAGTACTGATCTGGGAATCATTTATAAAAGCAATAGAAGAGCAGAAAAATAAGGAAAAAAGTCTTGAGGAATAAATGAGCTCTTGACAAGAATAACTGACAAAGGAGACCCAAAGAAATATCTGAGAGGTAGGGAACGGGGGGGGGGGGGGGAAGAGGGTGAGGTGAGAGAGAGAGAGAGAGAGAGAGTGTGTGTGTGAGAGAGAGAGAGAGTAAGAGTGTATTCTCTGCTTCCCAAAAAGACAATAGGTGTCCTGTCAAATTCAGAGAGGATCTGAGGCCACTTAAGGAAGAATTTCCACTGAACAGTTAAAGTAAAATAGATTAAAGTGGAGTTAAGAAAAGAAAGGAGTAGCTGAACAAGTTGTGGTACATAAAAACAAGAGAATATTATTGTACCCCAAGAAATGACAAATATGAACACCAAGAAGAAAAAAAAAGGTAGGATATACAAAGTGATAAAGAGAAAAGAAAGCAGAATTAGAAACCTAGTACTGGAGCATATTCTGAAGCTATAAATGTTCTAATGTAAAAGGGAAAAAAAGTAATAACTCACTTACCCAAAGGCTTCTAGGCCACTGTACATGCCACTTTTGTCTCTGTTCTGGTCACTGAGGAAGTCATTCAGCAACAACCGAGCTAGAGACTTCTGAACCAGTTTACAGTATGGTGAATGAAAAATCATGAAGCCAAAGTCATTCAAGGTAAAATCTCTATCATTTCCTTCTGAAACAGAGAAATGGTCCAAGAAAAGTATGAAACTGAGATGCCACTAATTCTCAGTTCTTGGCTAACACAGCTGGGACTTGATCGCAGTTTTGTTTTTAGCCACAGCACAATGGAAAACAACAGCAACTAGCAACATTATGAAATACTTATCTGAGGATTTAGATGCACCTAATTAGGGGTGCATCTAAAAGCACGTTAAGAATAAAATGCATCACATTCTATGTTCAATAAGTGCTTTCTCTACATACTGTAAGGAGTATTCAACCCAATCAATGTTGCTGTTCCACTGCAATTAAACAACAAAAAAACCCATATATCCCTCTTAAATTACTCAGAGTCAAATAAAAAAGTGGGAAGGAGTGTTACTGGTTCATGCAACACTCTGCCTTATCAAAAAACATCTGATTCTAGAAATCCAGACAGTATATCATTTTAGACAGTCATGTATTTTTGGGCCCCCAAATCATGTTTATTGTTGCACCACAACAGTAAGACAAGCTCAATAAGAATGAAACATACCTTTCTGCCATTTGGCACGAATCTTATTTCGGTAGACAGCATAGCAGCGATCTAATGCACTAAGGTAGCACTGGATAGACAGTTTACCATCAACTACGGGATATTCAGATAGCATATCAGGTTTGTAAAAGTCATAGGCATGTTGCATGTGTGTCCCACGAAGTCCTAAGATACAAGTAAGATGACATCTATTTCTGCTTCTCATAAATGTGTATTTTAAGAGACAATCTACCAACAAGAGACTTTCTTTAATCACCTGGCCAATGCTGGCACTGCACCGCCACCCTAGTATGTATATGAATCTTGATACAAACCCTATGGAGTGTATAACTACTCCCAAGAATCATACCAAACGTTCATTTTGTAGTATATCTAGTTTCTTTACTCATAAGATAAAAATCTGCCCCACTTGAAATAAGTCAAGTCAGCAAGCATTTATTAAGCTCCTACTATGTGCCAGGCACTATGCTAAGCACTGAATACCTAATTGAAAGGCAACATCAAGGAGAATTCAGACTTCATTTAGCACAGTTCTTAGCGCATAGTAAGCATTTATTAACTGCTCTCCCATTCATTTAAAGGAAATGAGCTATCATAACCATTAACATTTAGGCACAAAAGCATTACAATTTAAACGCTCACAAGTATGCAAATATGCTTCAGCTTCTAACCACAACAAAAATTAAGGGTCTCCCCAACAGACTCACCTCGCTCTAAAATTAAAGGTGCATTTGGGCCAATTAACATGGCCACAGCTCCAGCTCCACCTGTTGGTCTAGCATTTCCTGTGGCATACACAGCAATATCTCCAGCAACTACCAGAGCATAACGTCCTGTGATATAATTTTCAAAAGATAATTTCAAAGATGATCAGTTTCAAAAAAGCTACATGCATTTCTTTTCTTTTGGCTAGGCAACTGGGGTTAAGTGACTTGCCCATGGTCACGCAGCTAGTAAGTGTCAAGTGTCTGAGGCCGCATTTGAACTCAGGGCCTCCTGACTCCAGGGTGGGTGCTCTATCCACTGCGCCCCCTAGCTACTCCAGCTACACTCATTTCAACCCAACTACCCTCTACCTTAAGCAAATAAAAGTTGCCTAAAGAAGTTGTGAAAAAAGCAAAAAAATATTGATGCTAAAACTTTTAAATTACCAATTTGTCCAAATGAATAAACTACAAAAGCCACATGAGCTAAAAGTTTGTAGTAATCACTCTCAATGTACTGAAACAGTAAGCAATTAAAAAAAATCTGGCAGGCAGCTTTTCTGTAAGAAGATAGCAAGGACTATTTGCCAAATACAGAATTTTTCTAGCTAAGGGACACATCACAAACATACCATCCCAGGAACTAGATTCAACCCAGTTAACAGCATTGAAGACTGCAGCAGTGCCTCCATAGCATGCGTTGGTTGTATCGATCCCTTCTATGTCTGTATTCCCCGATTCTTCAAATAGCTGCATTAAATTTGTCTTCACCGACTTGGACTTATCGATGATTGTCTCTGTTCCAACTTCTAGCCTTCCAATGCAATCATAGGAAAGACTGTTTCTCTCCATAAGCTTCTGTACCACGGTCAAGCACAGCGAGTTGATATCTTCTCTATCTGTACAGAAACCCATTTTGGCCTGACCCAAACCAATGGTATACTTTCCAGCATCAACACCATCATACTTTTCCAACTCTACTTGATCGACATATTGAGAAGGAAAATAGATCTCTAGGGCAACAATTCCCACATCTTTTGGCCAGCAGGCTTCTGCATTCAAAGGGAGGGACCCAGGCATGATGAAAGAGCTTAAAAAGAAAAAAAAAGTCTGACTTTAGTAACTTGTAGCCTAATTTCCAAATAAATATATAAACCTAAGAAATGAATATTTTAACCACTTTAAAAACTGTTTAGTAATTTTTATTCAGTTGTTTATTTTAAATACTATGTGAAGAAAGCAACTAATTACATGAAAAATTCTATTACTTAGAACAAATCCTATCTACGAAGGCTACTGTAAATCTGGGGGATCCTTGGAATTCCATTTCTAAAGGTTGTCTAGCAGAATGTCTACTATGCTATAAAGAAACGAAGGGATCACCAAGACCTCTTACAAGTAAGTCAATGATCAATTTATTCCCAATCATAAAATGAAATGTAGCAATGGTAGAATAAGAGTTCAGTCCTATTCTAGACAAGAGAAGTTTGTTTCTATTGTCTGTTGTTAACAATGACAGCACAAGTTCATGCTAGATCAAAACAACTCACATTTTATGGAACTCAAAAGTCTAGTGATAAGCACCGTTTTGAGGGTGAGTTAATTAACTGTCTGTGTTCTAAGTATTTAGAACACACTGCTGGTGATGTTATCTTATCAAAATTTTCTTCACCAGAACTAAAAATCATTGGGAATTTTAAAAAAAAAAAGACATCTTACAGGATAGCTCAAAAGATTCAAGAAAAAAAAACAATCTCTTACACCTTCTCTACCTATGTTAACACTGCAGTTACAGGCAAAGTAATATTCAACATTATTCTAATTCTTTCAGAACTATCCACTAATGTAAAGTGACATGTCAATTCTTCATTAACCAGGATATTCAATTAACAAGAAAATCCGATTCCCTAAGGACAAATGGGAGTTTATTATAACCACCATTCTGCCAGATTTCCACTTGGTTCCAAAACTTCATGCCACATTGGTGCCGTACTTTTCCAGGCACTGTAGACTTACTGGTTTTCTATAGTACGATTTTGAGAAAGTCACTTAAGGCTTCTAGACCTCAGTTCCCCATTTATAAATGAAAGGATAGGTCCTAAGAGCCTAGCCAGTGTAACAGTTCTACGGGTCCAGCAGCAGCACATTGCTGGGTGCCTGCTGCCCAGGTAACAGAATGCCAGTCCAGTTGGACAGAAGTTGCTCTTTGGTTGGTCTGGTATAGTGCGTATCTTTTGAAAACCTATACTATAGCATTTATTGTCTGTCCCACTGTAATCTGCTATTTAATCAAACCGTCCCTTATAATGCTTAGCTCAGTGTATATGCAGTGTCTTTTCAGTTAGATGATAAAACTTCTGGAAAGCAGAAACCAAGTATTCTCCTACTTTGCACCTCAGCCTAGTATTGGTGCGGAGACCCTACAAAGCACTCACAATGGGATTTCACCACTACGTGGCCAGCCAGTTCCACTATTGGATGATTTAAATTTAAAGAGTTTTTTAAATTATCAGAAATCAGTCTTCCTACTTTTCAATACAATTCTGCCCTCTAAGCAAACACAAAATAAGTCTTCTTCCTCTATACATTAGCCCTTTGAAATAGCTATTCATTCCCTTTTATTTCTTTTCATATTCTTTCCAAGTCATCTCCTTCCACTTTTCCTATGACATGCTGCATAAGTCATAAGAACCCTCACAATCATGGTACCTCTCCTTGGGATCTTCTAGTGTGAAAATGACTTCTAAACTTTGGTACTCGAAGTCCGGGATAAGATACTCAAGATGTGTATGGTGAACGCAGAACACAGTGTATCCTATCTTCCTTGTTTTCGACACTTACATTTTAAAAAACAAAGTACCAGGTCAATCCCGGACCACACTCAGAATCAATGAAGATGCACATCTACCTGGTCTCTGAACTTTCAATCTTAAAACAGAGTTGCCCAAGGCACTGAGAGATTTAGTGATTTGACCATTCATGGTCACTCAACAAATATGTGATAAAGGACGTAAACTCAGGTCTTTATGACTTCAGGCTGATCCACTAACCATCATACTACACTGTCTCTCAAAACTATGGTTAATTAGCTGAAATAATAATTATTTTTTAAAATATAAGCTACTGTCAAAAATTTGGTCTTCCCCTCCCCCACCACACACATTCCCCACTTCCTGTGTGAACTGTTAATAATAAGAGCTAGTGTTTATATAGTACCTACTGTGGACCAGGGACTGTACTAAGAGCTTTACAGAGATTATCTCATTTGGTCCTCACAATTTGCCTTTAAGATAGATACTATTATTATCCTCATTTTATAGTTGAGGAAACTGGGGCAAACAGGGGTTAAATGACTTGCCCACAGTCATACAGAGCTAGTGTCTGAGGCTGGATTTGAACTTGGATATTCCTGAAAACAGGATCAACATTCTATTCACTGTGCCATGTAGCTGCCTAGAGAAAGGGACTTTTTTCAACAACTAAAATTTCATCTTGGAACTAAAATAACTTGATTCCACCATTTCCTTCTACTGGTTTTGGGCCATCGCATGAAAATGTGAAAGACATCTCTTATGTTAGAAACCCCTGTCTGCAAGCTGCTAAAAAAATTTAAGTGTTTGACAGCGGAGCTAAGTACAGACCTGACATAAGACATAGTGCCAGAGAACTGCTCCCACCCACCTTTCAGGCAATGACAGACACTCTTCAGTATGACTGAGTAATTAATTGGCTACAAATCTATCCAACTACTAGCTGATAACTTTATACAAAAAGTACCAGTTTCTACAGCTTGCACTTTAACAAGTTCTTTGCTGGCAACAACTATGTTATGCAACTTCAGGTTATTTATTCCAATTATTTCATGAAAATGGCAAGTGAAATTTCCTTGAGGAAGCAAAATTTTAGTTGGGTCTACAGTCTCAATGAAATTATCTGCCAAACTGAATGACAAATAATTATTAAGTGGGGCAAATAAATCTATTGTGCTTCTATCCTCTTCCATGCACAATGTGGTTTACACAGATGCCTTTTATTTAAAAAAGGAAAAGGAATGTTGGTTTAGTTCGAACAAAACAGAACTCAGAAACCTGCTGAGAGGGGGAGCTAAGGATTTCTTCATTCCAGCTTAAGTCATTTAAAACAAAATGAAACAAAACAAAAACAAATGCAAATCATCTTCCAATAGCAACAAAACCAAATGGGTATAGGGGTAGAACAAATCCCCAAAAGGAGGAGGAGAGACTGATAATTTCTTTAGGCTTCTATTCCAGAATTATGGTTTATTTAAGACAATCTTTTCTGTCCTGCTCAATACCATCAGTGTATGTGTGACAAGGCTTTCTATGCTAACTTCTTTGCATAAAATATTGCTATAGTCTAAGTCTTTTACCTCCTTATCCCCAACCCCTCAGATATTAAGGAACCAGTTTCACCAAATAAACTCTGATGCAGTGAAAGTGTCATCAAGAACAGGCCCTAACTGGTTTGACCAACCTTTACACACCCTTCCTTCCAAGTAAAATAGTCTATTCACTGTTGCCAACAGTTTCTCCTGCCCCTGACACCTTTGATTTAGTTTCTCCTACCTGGATGTTTTGTACTTTCCTCTTTCCAAACCCTCCAAGATTTTCAGGTCTTATACTCTTCCCCCAAATACTGTCTTCTATCCCACCACGATTTCGCATTCCTCTGAACTTTAACACCTCTTGTCTCTCTTACTCATATGGTAATCATGCACTGCCTTATGAAATGGCCTGTACTGGGCAGGGAAATCAACAGCATATTCTAGAAAGAATTTCACTTTTCAAAGTTTAACGTGACATTTAAAGGGTTAGCACTCAACAAGGCAGAAACCTCAGTTAACTAAAACCAAGGGTTCCGAACTTTAAAAATACTGCAGTAAAACTCTGGTTATCACAGAAAATCCAAGTATACTGGCATGAATTTAGCTGGAAGATACCAGCTACAAGGTCATTTAATCCAACCCCTTCATAAGTGACTCGTCCACAGTCACACAAGAGTAAGTGGCAGAGCCAGGATTTGAACTAAGGTTCTGACACCAACTCTGTCATTCTAAGTACCATAAAAGGAGTACAGCCTTTTTGCCTGGGAATTTTCTTTGGGGAGAAACTAGGTTCACTATGACAGTAAGGCAGTCATCATCCACAGAGTTTCAAAGAACCAAGAATCTGTAACTGAATATGCAGTACTATAAATCAAATGCAGAAAAAATGTGAAGTGTTTGGCAAACCTTAAAACACTACATACATTGGCAAATAAAGGTTAAGTGATTTGTCCAAGGTCACACAGATGGTAATTGTTTGAGGCTGGATATGAACTCATGTGCTCCTGAATCTAGGCCCGGCACTCTATTCACTATGCCATGTAGCTGCCTAGATGAAGTGATTTTTTTTATGCTTGAAATTTCATCTTGGAACTAAAATAAACAACTTGATTACACCATTTTCTCCTGCCTGTTTTTGTGCCATTACATGCAAATGTGACAGACAGTTGCTATTATTATTATTATTGCACACTTATCAAGCACGGGCACGTAATAAGACATGTTGATTCAATTACACTTTGTTTAATAGGAAGTTACCATATATACCACACAAAATTACCAGCTGTCAAATCAAACTTAAATATACTTGATGTTAAGACGATACTTAAACTTGACTTATCTTTGGTAATCTGGAAAGTACTTCATAATCTCAGTCTCTCTCTGTATTACAGTTCAGAATAAAATGTCAAACTAGGCAGCACTTTTTCAGTTTGAGAAAATTATTTCACTGTTACCTAGGATTCTAGACGCGTGTACACCAGAGAACACAGCATGTCTAGAAGTTGGGTCCTGCTTCTCAAAGAACATCGATCCTCTTCTAGCTTACTTTCCACTGTCACAGAGGCAGGTAAAACAAATGGATTCCAAGGTCACCAAACTCTACCCCTTCTGCTCCTAAAATTCACTGCTCTTTCCTGATATCAATAAATCCACCTCCCCTCCTGTGACCAGAAGTAGCTCTTGCCAATTTTAAAAAGGAATAAAAGGTCTCAGGAGTCAACCCTAAGCAGTGCTTTGTACCACCTAACAATGGGAAAATCCGTATGTAGACACCAAACATAGTGCATGACTGTGGAGCTTATAAACCTGGTGCAGGAATAGGAAAAACTAAGGGAATCAGATGGAGTTGCTGGCACAACACACACTTTAACCAATCAAGTAAAAACTCTGGGCTATAAATTTTTTAAGGTAGCTAAAGATTTTTAAGAGTGCCACGGAATCAGAGTTAGAAGGAAATTCAAAGGCCATATGGTATACGACTCATATCGTAATCATGAATCAGGTGACAAGCAGTCTTACCCAGGCTATTGCAGACCTCCAGTAATATGGAATTCACTACTTTCAAAGGAAGCCTACTTCATTTTTGGACAATTCATTTTTCTTATTGTCAATGACCATTTATCTCCTTGTAACTTATACCCACCCTACTTGCCAAAAACCATGTCTAATCATTCTTTCATACGGCAACCTTTTAAATCCTTGAAGCCAGAGCTCTGCCTGCTATATGATCCACTGTAGGTTAAAGAAGGGTGCATCTTGTGAGGTAGGATCACAAGAACAAGATTATTAACGAAAGCAATCTAGCATAATAGAAAGAAGCCTAGATATGTAATCAGCAGACCTGAGTTCTAACGCAGGTTTGCTTAACTAGGTCTGAGACTTTGGACTAAACAGCTATATTTTTCCTAATGAGAGAGATGGATATAGCAGAATGATTTACAAGTTGCTCAATCTTTTAAGACTTCACCTATAAAATGAGCTATTTCAAAACGAGGCCTGTCCAGCTCTGAAAGTATGATTTTTCATCTGTAGCTGTGGTAAAAAGGTCAAATGAGAAAGATTTGGCAGAAAAGATTATAAAGGAGTAGTAGAAATAGTCTCTACTAACTTATGGCATCTCTATCTATGGCCACAGAAATTCCCAATTTAGGGATACCCTCTCTTCCCTCTTTGAGGTTCTCCCTTCTGAGGGCCACTAGTGCCTGGCACATGGTAGGAACTTAATAAATGTTGACTGATTTATTCCCCCTCCTCGCACAGGACTGCCAGCCTCCTCCCACTTCCTCACCCACAGACAGCACCTGTGAGCAAAGGCTCAGAAGAAAAAGAATAATGCTGTTCTGGAACCAAGATGAAACTTAATTCAGTTCTTGGTGAACAAAGACTGTCATCTGCATCTGTGAAGTCCAAGTAAGACGGAAGAACAAGGATCTCATGGGCAAAGCCTTTGGACTCAGTTTTATTGTTAGTAGTTGTAAAAATAATCCTTAGAAATACACTCAGGAACAGAAACAAAGAAGTCTGGGAAAGGTCGTGGGACTGCTTTTCACTGTGGGTCAAGAAACAGAGAAACTTTAGTTTGAGGCAACAGACATAAGTAGAAAGGGAAGCAAGTTAAGAAAGAAAAGGAGTGGATGGGGCAGGGAGCTGGAGAAATATTACAAATAATGCCCAAGGACCTTCTTCTACCCCAGGCTATAAGGACCCCCAGTAGTGCCTTGGAGCCACAGGAATTCCTAGTTTGGATACTTGCTGAATTTTTACTAAGGAGAAAGAAATCCCAGTTCTTATGTGGATTTATTTTTTTGGTGAGGCCAAGATACATTTTTAATCTCAGGAACCCCTAAAAGAAGAGTTCTAGACTATGACTAGAAAAAGAATAATGCTATAATATTTCAGGGGGAGAATGCATTCATTTTTTATCAGCAGGTTGGTGGCAGCAGTGATAATCCTTGATTAATGAAGTCATAGGGGTACCTATCTACCTCTCCCTCTTTTTATTTTTCCCCCAAAATTTTCCAAGCCCTGTCATACCCCCCTTAATACTATCTCTTAGACACCCAGCTCTTTCAACAGAGCACAGGGTCTTTCTTGGTACATGTGTTCCTGCTAAGAGCACAGCCAGTTTACGGGACTTGTGGCATTATGAAAGACTATCTTAAAGAACAGGAACAAAGTTAAAGCTACATGGCTTTTTTTTAGTGTTTTCAGCAACTCTCTTCTTAATAAATTGTTTACAACAAAAGGCTGTGATCTCCTATCATAAGATTTTTTAACTTACTTGTCCTATAGCTACACTGAAAAGAATGCTTTAAAAACTTCCCAATATTAATTAGTGATGTGATTTCATAAGCAGTGATTTTGGCAAAGCATAAAAATTTAGTTAAATCAAAAGCCACTCATTTACTGAACTTTGGTTTATAAATTCTAATACATAATGGTACTGGGAGAGGCAGCTATAACAAGAGGATACTAACAACAAAGTCTGCAAGGACCATCTTTCGTTAATAGTACCCAGTCAACTAACAATCTTTATTAAAAAGGTCCATAATCTCACGATAGGGTGCAAAGTTCCCCTCACTTAGAACAATGCCTTCCAACCAGTGAAATCTGAGCACACCAGTACATTTCAAAGTGCTATTCCATGCAGCTTTGACTCCTTCTCACCATGCCAAGGTAGTTCTCTCAAGCCCACGTGCCCTGCACCGCCTTAACAATCTATGCTTCTCCTACCCTCCCCTTTTGCAGCAAGGTGGACAGAGTGTAGGGCCTTTCAAATCTGGCTTCCCGGACATTCACTTGCTGTGTGACCCTGGGCAAGTTTGTCTTAGGTGGAGAAGAAAATGGCAAACCATCCCAGTATCTTTGCCAAGAAAACCCCAAGTAGGGTCACATGAAGAATCAGATGTGACTGAAAACAACTGAATAACAACAACCCTTTTGACTCTGAGCTCAGGTGAAGGGGTGGTAAAATCACTGTGAATAAAGATGATCAACAGCTTCCCTCCTCTGTCCCCAAATGTCCTGTGTCCTTTTTCTATCATTTTAGTCTAGAATCGTCTATTGAAATACTATTCTTACCATTCTCCCTAAAGCCTGTTTTTAATCAGTGGACCAGAGGGTATCTTATCCCCTCTTCTCCAGCTGCACTGTAGCTAATTAGGAATTTTCTTTAAAATTATAAAGGTTGGGAAGTACTACTCTAGGGGCTTAATCTAACACCCATATTATACATCAAATATCACACATAAATAATCACACAAGAAACTGATTACAAGAACGAAGTTGTACGAAGGTAGCTTTTCTGCAATATAATGTTTTGACTCAATCAGAAAGCAATGAGAACACATACTTGAATCACTGGTGTAATAAAACATAATACATATTTAACTTTCTCAAAGTTTTGGACAAGCACACAAGTCTACAAAAAGTGCTTTGGGAACATTACCCAAAGCCCAGCTGCTATTTGTATATAACATAAAGCAGTGTTTCTTCTGATCCATGATGGAATAAAGGTAAATGTATATAAGATAACTAGACTGTAGGGACAAACAGGGCCCTTTAAAGAAAAACGGCAGAATTACATAAATCACTTGTCGCACCAGAAGTGAAGAAATCAAGACCTTGAGGTTACATTTAAAAGTCCAAATCACAAGACTTGTGAGTGCCTAACTTCACATTTAACATTCTTTCCATCATACAAAAAAAGAGAAAAGGCACATTAATAAGCCATTTACCAGTAATGTTAGTGAACAAATAATATAAGTGCTCACAATTTGCTATTTTGTCTTTTTGAACCATGCCCTCAATAAAATGTCCTCAACAGATGAACCTTAACATGTAAAAATGTCTATTCAGCTTCCCAACTTATACCTGGCTCTGCTAATTACTTAACTGTGGGGCCTTGGGCATGTTATTTCACCCCTAGGCCTCAGTCTCCTTATCTGTAAAGTAAGGAGTTGGACTGAGTGACTAGAAACTAACACAACTTCAACTCCAAATACGATCTATTTGATACAGCCTCAGGACAGAAGACTAACAAATACAACACAAGAATAGTCATTCCAATAAATGAAACATGCATTAACACATTTTGCAAAGACTAGGGGAAACATGGAAAAGGCTTTTTTGGTGGTGGTGTTGTGTATGTGTGTGTCTTTTAACTACATGTGGAACCTATACATAAGGCACAAGTCATAAGTCCAGAATGAATATTTTCCCTCTTTAACCGAAGCAGAGGATTTCTTTTATTACCTTAGAAGAGTATCAAGACCTAGCAAATTAGTAGGACTGACATACCTGTTTGAGGGATAGAGGACTTCAGTCTCCAGGTCTGTCACTCTGTCTCCTTTTCCAAGCACTAGAAATTTCATAAGATTTTTAAAGTCACAAATCACCATTCACATTAAAAAAACCCCTCAAATTCAGAACTATTTTAGCTAGAATAAACACTTTATCATTTAACTAGAATACATGGAATATGGTTTGATTTCAATTACTAACCAAACAGGGTCAAAGGAACAGAGGAACCCACACATCTTACATATACGATAATTTTGGACCTCAAGGAAAAGAGTAGATTAAATTCTAAAACTGAGTATGACTCCAGCATGACACTGAGAAAGGAGTGATAGAACTGATAAAGGTGAATGTGTCAAGTGGAGAAAGGACAGAGAAAGAGAAAAGTATTGCAAAGACTTAAAATGGACACAGTAGCTCAAGTAGCTGAACTTGTCATGTGGTTGCTTGGGTCTACAAGGCAAATCCAGGAATGTTAGGTAAAAGCCACAAAGAAGCACACTTAGGTTTCAAACCAACAATGAGACCTATCCAAAAGTGAAATAGACTGGCTCAGGAAGTAGTAGTTCCCAGTCACTGGAGGTCTTCAGGTAAAGTCTATGTCACTACTAAATGGATATTCAGTAGAAAAGGTGCTTATCAAAGTATGGGGGTTGGACTAGATGACCTCTGAAGTTCCTTTCCAATCCTAAGATTCTTTTTTTATGTAGTAATTTTTCAATTAACAGCTGAATACTGCTATACTTCACATGACTTTTTGCTGGATGGCATTTTTCTAGCAAAAGTATTCAAGACAAAATAAAATAAGTCTATTAGAACGGTCCAGACCTTCGTTACCTTTGTGTCTTTTTTTGGTGCAGCATTGCCACTTTTATTCCCAGAGTAATCATTTTATTCTTTTTCTTTTCCTTAAGCCTGACAGCATGAGATAAGAATCGGGATCTATGGCAGCACCAAGATACGTAAGACTTATCCGTGCTTTAAGTAGAAGTAAAATGGCAAGCTAATGCTTTAGTAGACTTCATTAGCTCAATACTCAATCTATTTCAATTACATGAAAAAAGTGGTCAGGATGCTCAAAAAATATTAAATTCTCTCTTGGTCCCTCACAAGATTATTGCTAAATCTAACATATGAAATAGCTTGACTACTTCTTAACTCCCTGAAAATCTTTAATTACTTAAATGAAGGCTATAACAAGTTCTTAAATTATGTAACAACTCAATAAATAGCATTTCAAAGTCAATTGTTCAATGGGTTAAAGAAAAGAAAAACTAACTCAAAGTACACTGACTTTTAAAAACAGGTTCTAAATTCTTTAAAGTAGATGGCCAACTGTAAACATTCTCTTGAGTTTTCTCTAACTGCTAAAATTTTAAGGTTACTCACTAATCTCACAAAGAAAACAACTCACATCAAAGAATGCATGCTAAATTGTTTCTAAAAAGGATGATGAAATTGGAACTCAAAATTTTAAAAACGAATGTCAAAAATTGGTTTTAGATGCAACTGGGAGATAAGATATACAGGCAATGGGGTATAGAAATCTATCCTGCCCTACAGGAAAAAGAAGGGGGGGGAGTGATAGAAAGGAGGGCAGATTGGGGGAAGGGGTATTCGGAATGCACACTGTCTAGAGGAGGAATGAGAGAGATGGGAAGAAAAATCGGAACTCAAAATCCTGTGGAAGTGAATGTTGAAAACTAAAAGTTAATTAAAAAAAAAGGATGCTGAATGATATAACTATATTCACTGTCAGCAACTACTATAATAATTTGTTAACTGATGCTGAAGTGATAAATATCTCATAGGGTTACAGCATAAAGCAAACCCCCCCAATTCACTTTGATTCAAAGAACTCCAAGGTTTTACCAACCTTTACTTTAAAAAAAAAATTTTTTTTGTTGTTGTTCAGCTGTTTTCAGTCATGTCTGTCTCTTCATGACCCCATTTGGGCTTTTCTTGGCAGACATACTGGAGTGGTTTGCCATTTCCTTCTCCAGCTTATTTTACAGATGAGGAAACTGAGACAAACAGGGTTAAGTGACTTGCCTAGTAAGCTAGTGTCTGAGACTGGATTTGAACCCAAGTCCTTCTGACTCCAGGGCCAATGCTTTATTCACTGTGCCACCTAGCTGCCCCTTTTACAAAAACTTTTACTCTAAGCTAAACTTCAATGCCTTCCCTAAATCTGACTCAATTTCTCAAATTAATCCTATAACAGGAATAAGACAAAATGCATTCTGGTAGGAGAAAAAAAAGGTTATAGCATTATACATTTGGCAACCTTCAAAGAATATGCATTTCTTTTTTTTGGGGGGGGTTTGTTTGTTTGTTTTGGCTAGGCAATGGAGTTAAGTGACTTGCCCAGGGTCACACAGCTAGTAAGTGTTATGTGTTCTGAAGCTGAATCTGAACTCAGGTCTTCCTGAATCCAGGGCCAGTGCTCTATCCACCTAGCTGCCCCAAGAATATGCATTTCTAAAATGAGATATGTTGGAAAAGGCAGCTAGCTAGGTGGCAGAGTCACACTCAACTGAAATGACTAAACAATAACAAATGCTCGAAAAAAGTAAAAAAAAAAGGTATTATGCATATACTCTGAAAAATAACTTTTTTGGGCATGATTACATCATAGATCAGTTGGAATCTGTCTCCCCCAAAGAAACTTGTCCTTAACTTACAGTCTAATCTAGTATGCGGCAAAGGCAGGACCTGGATAGAGGTCAGCATTCAAGTTTCATACAAGCCAGATATGGAAAAGGAGGGTGCCATTGACGTTAGCTTCAGACAAAGCACAACACTACTTCATCTCCAGCTCTGTTATAGGGCCAGGCAAACATCCTCTCAGAATTGGACTGGCCTCTAAAGGTTAAGGGGTAGGGTAGATACATACGAGGGGCTTTAAGAGAACTTTCAAAGGGAAACTTCCATTGTCCTGCTAGCCGACTTAAGCTCCCTGATTCCACCCCTCGTATTTTAAATATTCAAAGTAAGAATTCACAAAGTGATTGTCATGAAAAATATGCATTTTGATATGATTACCTATATTCCATAGACACATCCATCTTTTTTCCTAAATGTGGGTCAAAGAACAACTAACATTTCATCAAAACAAAACAAACCCTTCTCTCCATTCTTTTTTTTTTTTTTAGGCAATTGGGGTTAAGTGACTTGCCCAGGGTCACACAGCTAGTAAGTGTCAAGTGTCTGATCTGAAGCCGGATCTGAACTTAGGTTCTCCTGACGTCAGGGACGGTGCTCTATTCCCTGCGCCACCTAGCTGCCCCCTTCTCTCCATTCTTATGGATGCTACAAGGGTCAATTCTTGCCTAGACCACTGTATTAACTTCATAATTGATCTCCTAGCCTCAAGGCTCCCACCTCTACAACAATCCAACCACCATACACAGATAGATGCCAAATTGATATTCCAAAAGCACAACTCTGACCACACGGCCAGTAGTCTCTGTTTCCTTTAGAACCAAATACCAACTCCTTGGTTTGGCCTTTAAAGCCCTTTACAATCCGGCTCCAATTTGTCTTTCAGTCTCCTATACATCCCCCTCCTTCTTGAACCCCACCATGATCCAGCCAAACTGGACTTTTCTTGATATTCCTCACACAATAGTTTCCATCTGCCATGTTGGTGCTTTTGCATACAGGAGGTCCGCCATGCCTGGGACACACTTCCTCCTCATCTCTGCCTCTTAGCATTTCTAGTTTTGTTCAGATTTCAGCTCAAATTTGACATCTTATATGCTTCTTGAGCTACTAGTGCCTCCCTTGTCCCCACTACCTTTCATGTTTATCTGTGTATAATAACACATATGTCTCCCCTACAGAATGCCAGATATTTCACTTTTGTCTTTGGACACGCTCCTAAGCTGAGGTCCAGTACACAGTAGGTGCTTAATAAATGTTTGATTAAAGTTTTTTTAATCCCATCTGAAAGAAGAGATTTGTCAAATATATATAGACATCAATATTCTCTGTATTACCACAGAATTTTCATCTTAATTTGCTACGAACTTTGCCATTGTTTCATTATATACTGTTTAGACACAATAAACCTCGGTACTTATAAAAAAAACAGTACTCAAAACATCAGCACTGGAGCAGGCTGGCACACACAGTAAGAGGGAGGGGCTGAAGAAGATGCAAGCAGAAAAACAAGGAATAATAACCTAAATACAAATATCCCTCCCCAAAAACCCCCAACCAAAAAACACTAATTACTTGTTCCCTAAGTCTCTTTTCTCTGAGAGATGAAAATGATACCATTGCCAACTTTCAAGTTAAGGTATCACCAAATTTCAATGGACAGCTCATATATGTTCCTTAAAAATCATTCATTTGTACCCAAGGCTACTATGTAATATGTACTCAGAGAAGCCACAACTAATTTCAGCGAAGTAGAAAAGCCAAGAAGGAAGCAGTATTTCAGAATGCTGAATAAACTTGTAAGAGTAAAAAGGTAGCTAAAAGAAGCTAGTGTACCTACAGATTCTAGGGGATAGAGAGAGTTAAAGTGGGAGTGGGAGGTTTAGCTTGGACTGAGGCCTTTCCAACTTAACATTTCACATTTTTATCTTGAGGATACTTTACTTCCAAACAAACTTGTAACAGTGCCATTCAACTCAATTTTTTTTTTTGAGGCATTAATTGCTTGCCCAGGGTCAAACGGCTAGTGTCTAAGGCTGAATTTGAATTCAGGTCCTCCTGATTCCAGGGTCAGTGCTCCACCCATTTTGCCACTTAGCTACCCCAGCACAGATTTTTACTATGAGCCAGTCAACTCACTAAATAAACTCTGGGATACAAAGAAAAAGATACTATCCCTATCATCAAGGAACTAATATTTAATCAAGACACAATTTGCAAATAATTATGTATGTACAATACATACACAGAGTAAAAGAAAAAAAAAGTAATCTCTAATGAAAAGGGAAGGAAGAAAAGCTGGGAAAATTTACCTACATGGCAGGTGGGATTTGAGCTGAGTCTTCAGGGGAGCTAGAAGGTAGAGGTGATGAGGTAAACCATTCCAAGCAAGAGGGTCAGCCAATGAAGGCAAAGGCACAGAGACCGGAACTTCAAGGAAGTTCCTGTAACTGGATGGTAGAGTTTGTAGAAGGGACCCAAATAAAAGGAGACTGAAAAAGTAGAAAGAAGCCAGGCTATAAAAAATTAATTCCACACATTCCCCCCCACCAAAAAAAGAGATTTTATATTTGATCCTTAAGATAATAGGTACCCTGGGGCTGCTAGGTGGTGGCAGTAGATAGAGCACCAGCCCTGAAGTCAGGAGGACCTGAGTTCAAATCCGGCCGCAGACCGAACACTTGTCACTAGCTGTGTGATCCTGGACAAGTCACTTAACCCCAACTGCCTAAAACCAAAAACCAAAAAGATAAAAGGTACCCACTGAAGTTTGCTGAGGGGATGGGGGAAGGTGTCGAGAATCAGACCTACCTGGTGGAAAATCTAGGCAGCTGATAGGAGAATGGACTAGATGGGGAGTGACTAGCTTGAGGCAGGGAAACCAGTTAAAAAGCTATTAAGTAATCCAGTTGAGAGGTAACCCTTATAAGGGCGGCATCTTTGTTATGTGTAGAGAACGGGACAAATAAGAGAAGTTGTGAAGGTAGTAGAAACAACAAGATTTGATAATGGAAGGATGTTAGTGCCTTCAACAAACAAAGGAAAAGGTTAAGGAGAGAATCGGGAGGGAAGATATCGAGTTCTATTTTGGGAGTGTTGCATTTTGAATGTCTACATCTCTCCTTACCAGGATCCCACTTTTCTACTACAATGGGAAGACACTCCCTGCCATGCAACAGCCCTCCAAACTCCACCCAATCTCCCTCCTCAAGGAGAGGAAAGCCATCCATCCTCTACCTTTCTCACCTAACAGGAGCTTAGAAAATGTTTGCTGAATGCAACTGAATCCATCCCCCCCATCCTCCCCTGCTTTCACCTCCAACCCATCTTTACGTGTCTTTGTCTCCTCCATTAGAATGAAAGCTCCTTGGGCAAGTGGAGGTTTCATTATTTGTACTTGTTATCTCCCTCTCTCCTCTCTCTCTCTCTCTCTCACCCCGTGCGCCCCGCCCCACCCTGCCCAGCCCGGCGACTCAGCACCGCACCTGGCATACAGTAGGCACTTAATGAACGTTTGCTGACTGACTACTCCCTCGGTCTAAGTCCAGATTCCCTCAACGACCTAACTCATTATCTGATACATAAGAGGTTTTTAACAATGACTTATACTGATGGCTCCATCTCTCCAGATACCTCTAGTTCCCCGGGGCCCGCAGTGTCCGACACATGGTGGGCGCTTAATAAGTACTTGCTGATTGATTCCTCCACCTCTCCGGCTAAGTCTAGATACCCTAGCTACTCAGCCCAAGGCCTGGCACGTAGTAGGCACTAAATAATTACTTAGTGATTGATCACTCCATCTCTCCATCTAAGTCTAGTCCCCCCAGAGCGCTCTCTGTGCCTGGCACACAGTAGGCGCCTAATTGGCTGATTAAGTCCTCCATCTCTCCATCTACTTAGCCCAGTGCTTGGCATGCAGTAGGCGCTTCAATATTTGCAGAATCCCCTTCCACGCGGTTCCTCTCCCATCCTCTCCCAGTCCATCGTCTCTTGCTAGCTTCTCGTTTTCCCCTAACCCTCATCCACACCGGGTCTGGACCCTGGCTGTCTACACTCGGCTGCAGGTGGGAGGCTCCCGCGGACACCCGCCGGGCCGCACCCCGCCCCGCTCCCCCGCGGCCGGCCTGACCCCGGCGCCCCTGCCCGTCCTTGCCCCGGACCGAACCGCAGCTCCCCGGGGCCTAGTCAAGGGCACTGACCTCCACCCCGCGGGCAGCACGGGCCAGGCTGGATACCCTCCGGCCCTTGGGCTGCTTCTCTGACCCGCACGGGGCACTCACCCAGGAGCGACCGGACACTCGGGCCGGACTCGAGGAGTCGCCAAGAGAGAAGTGAGCGGGGACACCCCCTCCGCCACCACCTTTATAGCTCGCCGGCTGGTCCCAACTCCCTCATAACTAAGAGTCGGTAGGAAGGCGGAGCGGCGGCTCCAGCCGCCAATCGCAATCTGCGCAGCCGTCTGGAGGCTCACGCCTCCCTTGCCCCTTCTCGCCAATCAGAGGGGACAGGAGGGGGTGTGGTCTCACGCGGGCTTCCCCCTACGGCGGGTTCAGGCAGGGGTAGGCTAGGGCAGCAGAGGAAGTGGGGTGAGGGAGTGACGTTGTGTGGCCCGAGAGCAGGCCTGCCAATGGTAACGCGGCGAGAGGCTGAGGGAGCCAACGGGAGCAGAGAGAGAGGGCCTTCCGGCCAATGAGAGGGCGGTGCGAGGCTGTGGAGGCCAATGGCGACTATGCGTCCCACCGCTGGGGAGACATAGTGAGGGTGGAGGGGGCGGGTCCTGTCCCCGCCTGGGAGTCTGGCAGGTTGCCTAGCAACCGGAGCCGGCTTCTCCCTCTTGATGGATGAAACTTTGACTGCTTTGAATGAAGCCTCAAGGTTATATGGTCCCCAGAGCTGGGGAAGAAAGGCCTTACTTAGCACCTGCGGCCACAGCCCTCTTCTGCCTGTTACTGTTACCATGATTCAGACTTCTTTCCTAGGAGGGCTTCTCTCCACTGCACATAAAAGGAACTAAGTGGCAGCCTTTGGGCACTGTGATTCAAGGATGGGGGAATTTCAGAGCCACCTTGTTGAAGCAGAAATAAGATTCCCGAACCAGTGGGTGCTACATTCCAACATATCTCTATGAAAAAAGCCACAGGGACCTGGACAAGTCAGTTGAAGTTGGAAAAACACCCCAAACAATGGGTACAATCCAACTACAGTTCAGCTTTGAATCCGGACAGAGGGGCTGATTTTTAGGTCAAAACTACTGGGATGATGTGCAGTTATTGGGATCCTTGTCTCTGAACTTTCGCTGTTCCTCAAAGTTGTACTAGCTTCCAGGAAGTGGGACCATTTCTCAGGAGATTTTCTAAAAGGGACCTTTGAAATGATCTAGTGCTAGTCCAACCACTTAAATTTAAAGATGAGAAAAACAAGGCCCAGTAAGGTGGGTTGATTTTATCTAATGCAACGATTATGTAACATACTGTCTTCTCTATGTTATACCACATCCCCCTTACTAGACCATAAAAAGCTTCATGAGAGTAGGGACCATACAGTAACCAAACTATCCCCTCTAGCACCTAGAACAGTTCGATCAGGTATAAGCATGTAATACATTTGTTGGTTAATATTTTCCAAGTTCAATAGCTCTCTCAGGGCTAAAACTTAAATTTAGTCTACAGTCTAAGATACGTTGTATCATATCCACAAAAGGATCCATTAGCAAGACTTTCTTTTTAAATGTGTTTTCACTGATGCAATTGCAAGTTGCAAATTGCAAGATCATTCTAAGGCTCATGACATTTTATTCTAGCCTCAGTTATTCATTTTTTAAAAGGCCGTATATCCCTTATTTGTGGCTAGCAAACTACCACCTTTTCCTCCTCTGATCCCTGCCTGGACAAAAACTTTCTTCCACTACTACCATTCTCCAGTCTGTATTGCTTCATGTCTATTCCTCCCAAGCCCTCAGTCCTTCTCTGTCCTTTCCTTCTATTGTATCCTACTAGACTGGTTCCTCATCTTGACTTTCAGTCAATCAATCATTCCTTTCCTTTCCTTTCCAGTCCATAACCTTTACTAGGACCTCATTTTCTTCCCTTTGCAATCTTGACCCAATGTTTAACCAGTTCAAATCTATGCTGCCCTCCAATTTCTAATCCATTGCCCACTTGTCCTATCTGCTCATGCCTTGCTAAACCCTAACCCAGGTTACAAGTTGTCTCATCATCATGACTTCTCTTACATGAAGCTGAACACTGCTGGAGCAAGTCATACAACTGTGCAGGATATATTAGGAATTTATATCATCTAACCTTAACTGGGCCTTCACTGCCATATATCTTTCCTTTTATTTTTTCCTGATTGACTCTATCTCAAGCCTGTTAGTCACAATCCTAAACCTCTTTTGTCCTCAAGCTTCTTACATCACTTCTTTCCCCCACCCCTCATCCTTAGCAGAGCACTTTGTCACTCCCTCACTGAGAAAAAAAAGACATTATTGTCTACTGAACAGTCAGAGTGAAACACAATCATGCCAATTCGGTATGCTACAAAGTTGTGTTATCTAATCTGAACTGGGTCCTACCTCACAGCAATCCTTTTATCTTTCTTTAAGGATTTTCTTTAAGTACTAACATCACAATCTCCACAGACTTTCCAAACCTCTTCTTCCCTTTAGCCTTCTCTACCACATCCCATTCAGCAGTCAGCTAATCAGTAAACTACTAGTCAGCTGGAATTCAATGCTCAGTCATTGTCCACTGGGGAGGCAAGAAAGACAAAAAACAGTCCCTGTTCTCAAGAAGCTCACAGTCTAACGGAGAGACAAAATGCAACCAACAATCAAATATATTCATGATTAATTAGCAGTAATCTCAGAGGGGAGGTACTAAGATTAAGGAAGACTGGGAAAAGCTTCTTGCAGAAGGTGGAGTGTTAGTTAATCTTTGAAGGAAGCCAGGAAAGCTAGAAAAAGGAGATGAGGAGGGAGTGTATCCCAGACCTGAGTGACTAGTGAAAACACTGTCTGGAGGCAGGAGATGGAGTCTCATGTTTGAAGATCAGCAAGGAGGCCAGTTGTCACTGAATCAAAGTACATGGGAGGGAGTGAGGTATAAGAATCTTGGAAAGGTAGAAAGGGCCAGGTTATGAAGGAATTCAAAGCCAAACAGGATTTTATTTTATTTTTTTAAATTTTATTAATTTATTTTGATTTATCAATAATTACTTCTATATGCTTTTGAGTTTATAAATTTTTCTCCCCCTTCCTCCCCACCATCCTCCCCAAGACGGCACACAATCTGATATAGGCTATACATTTACATTCCTATTAAACATATTTTCACATTAGTGGTGTTGTAAGTAAAAATTAAAACCAATTGGAGGAACCATCAGAAAGAGGAAACAAAACTCAACAGAAGAGAAAAAAAAATAGCAATTCAACTTTCATAGTTCTTTCTTTGGGTGTGGATAGACTTCTCCATCACGAGGCCTCTGGAGATGTCTTAGATTCTTGTATTGCTGGGAAGGGTTAAGTGTATCAATATTAGTCATTGTACAATGTGGCTGTTATTGTGTACAATGTTTTCTTGGTTCTGCTCATTTCACTCAGCATCAGACCATACAAGTCTTTCCAGGTTTTTCTAAAGTCAGCCTGTTCATCATTTCTTATAGCACAATAGTATTCCATTACATTCATATACCACAACTTGCTCAGCCATTCCCCAATTGATGGGCAGCCTCTCAATTTCCAATTCTTTGCCACCACAAAAAGAGCTGCTATGAATATTTTTGTACATGTGGGTCCTTTTCCCATTTGAATGATGTCTTTGGGATAGAGCCTTAGAAGTGCTATTGCTGGGTATGTACATTTTTATAGCCCTTTGGGCATAGTTCCAAATTGTTCTTCAAAATGGTTGAATCATTTCACAGCTCCACCAATAATGCATGAGTGTTCCAATTTTCCCACATCTTCTCCAACATTTATCATTTTCCTGTTTTGTTATGCTGGCCAATGTGATAGGTGTGATGTGGTACCTCAGAGTCATTTTGATTTGCATTTCTCTAATCAATAATGATTTAGAGCATATTTTCATATAACTATAGATGGCTTTAATTTCTTCATCTGAGAATTGTCTGTTCATATCCTTTGACCAAACAGGATTTTAGATTTGATTCTGGAGTCACTGGAGTTTATTTAGCAGATGAGTTGAGGATGGACCACATCAAGTAGGCAGAGACTTGAGGCAGAGAGATAAACCTGCAGGCTATTTCAGTAGTCCAGATGTGAAATGATGAGGGCCTGCACTGGGATGGTCAGAGGAGAGAAGAAGGTGTTTATGAGAGATGTTATGAAGGTAGAAATGACAGGACTTAACAAATGATTGGATATAGAGGGTGAGAAAGAATGAAGATTTGAGGATAGGTGGTAAGCCTTAGTGACTGGGAGGATGATGTATTCTCAGCAGTAACAGAGAAGTTAAGAAAAGGGGAGGTTTGAAAGCTAAAGATGAGTTGGCTATGTTGAGTTTAAGATGCCTACAGGATGTCTAGTAGGCAAATAGAGATGGCAGATGGGGACTGGTGGTCAAATAGATCTGAGAGTCATCTGAATAGAGATGATAATTAAAACTATAGAAGCTTATGAGCTCACCTAGTGAAATAGTATGGAGGGAGAAGAGAAAAGGGCCCAAGACAGAATCTTGGAGGCCATAGTTGGAGGATTGCAAAAAGGCCATTAAAATTGGGAAGTAAGAGATCATTAGTAACTTTGAAGACAGCAGTTTTGGTTAGAATCACGATTGTAAATAATGAGATTGGAATCCAAATTGTGAAAAGTTAAGAAGAAAATATGAAGAAAGGAAGTAGAGGGACTTAATGTAAATGGTCTTCTCAAGGAGTTTAGCCACAAAAGGGAAGATTTGCAGCAGAGAACCTCACCTCCTAGTTTACCAAGAAATAAAGGTCATCTATTATGATTTTCCTTTATCTTTTATATCAGAACCACTAAACATTATCTTCTATTCCCTCCTCTACTCCAGTTTCTGACCAAGGGATGGCCCTTTTTCCTGCCAAAGCCATCCTATCTACTTATGTCCTTAACTCTTCCAGTCTCATCTAGGAGCGTGATGAATCCGTACCTCAGGCTTCAGTTTCTATCTACTGGCTTTTTCCATGCTTCCTAAAAACATATCCAGGTCTTACTCCAACTTTCTAAAACCTTCCATTTATCTTACCATTCAATTCTCAAAATATCATCCTATAATTTTGCTGTCTCACAATCAGACCTATAGAAAAAGCCATCTCCACTGGCTGTTTCCACTTTCTCCCTCAACCTCTGGCAGGCTCCTGACTTTACCACAC